TGTTGTAAATACTAAAATGGAATTATGCATTATTTTCCTCAATGTGTATAGAAACATTCAGGATAAAAAATGAGGCAAACGCGTGCTGCACAGTCATGAAAGCAACTCTAAAGAGGGTGTGCATGTCCAATCTGCAATCTATTTAATGCCAAACATGGCTCTATAGGAGAAGACAGCCTGCTTATGTGGGAATCATTGCTCCAGACATAAGAGAAACTCTTAGTAAGAGCTTGAAAGGAAGTTGACAGTCCTCATTGTCTCAATACAGCTGGAAATTTAAAAGGAGAAGATAAATAAATAAATAAATTCAAAATTAATAAAAGGAAAACAGAATTAACTGAATAATTTAAATGTTGAGACACTTGCTTCGAAACAACTTTTTAAAGCTCCTGCTTTTCTCAGGTTCCTGCTGGTAGCACATGACAACTCAGCAGTTGAGTTTCGTAACGGTGCCCTTGTCACAAAACGGCCAGTTTATAAGCCAAGCATGTTCTTAAATTGATTCCTGTAAAATCATCATCATCTTCTTCCAAGGGGACATTGGAAACAAGTGTGGCTGTCCTTACAGACTTTGTACTGTGCTTTATTGGACCATAGGGTTTGATGTGAAGGATGATAAGCGTTCTGCAGAGTTGCGGTGAGACTCAATGCTCAACTGCATAGTCAGAGGCCAGTGATGTGGCTGCTAATACATCACTTTACCAGTGAACTCTGGACAAAAAGTAATGGTAATTTTGATACTTCTCTCTTTTTATAAAGTTAGCGTGAAAATGATGCAAACCCAGAATGCAACTTGATCTTCATGTTTCCACAAGAGCCAAATCAGTAACTTTCCTTTTCCTTAATGGCAACCTAAAAAACATCTTAGAATGTTTTTTTTTTTATTTACTGGATATGAATTCTCTCTTATTCTGACTCAAAACAACATTCACACTGCCCATTTGCAGAATACATTTGATAAGTAAATGCATAGAGAATAGCAAATCTATATTTGCCAAAGAGGTTGCATTAGATGAGACAATGTTTAAGTGAACTCCGCAAACCAAACTTGAGTTTCTAGAAAGCATTTGTTGGTTCTTTTTGAACTATTTCATAGGACACTCTCACATAAAAATAGAATAATTTGTTGGTAAGTTTTGGATTTCTGATGATGTAACAGTAAGCATCATCTATGTTTTGGTGTGAGATTCAAAGGCCTGGCTTCTAGTTGTGACTATATTTGCTGTCATGTAGCTGTTCCCTCTGAATGACACAGTTCCTCTTGGAAAATAGTCCATTAAAATTCAGAAACCACTGGATTCATATGAAGATGACCTAGTGGAGACAAGTAATATCTCACCTTACCAGAACTTTATCAAAGGAAGGAGATGCCAAGTAGTGCTTTGGAACTTCAAACCACAGTCAAAACATAGCATAATTTTAATAGAAGCAGAAGCCAAATGTTGATCATTTGAATATATTCAAGGATGCTGCTGACATCAATATTCAATCATCTGCTCACTCATCCAGGAAGAAGGGGAGATCAGTTACTATTGTACTTTACTGTGTTCAACCAAATCACCATGTTACAAAAATAGCAAGCTGCCATAATAAAAAATAAGGCTCCTCTATCCAGCACCATCCAGTTAGCATCATTTTACTGTCAAGCCTAGAAATGCCATAGACACATCCAAACACAAGAGAGCAAAAGAACCACAGGACATATACCAATGGGACCATCCAGTGGTTACAGGACTTTGTATTAGGGATATTTCATTTTTTTAAAGTGGGTTTTAGCTGATATTCCTGGAGAGAATGAATCCGTAGAAATGTGCCACCAGTGAAAGGAAATCCTACGTAAGAATGTTTCTTCACGTAGCTGTGGCATACCATCCTTGGGGCCCTCTGCTTGAAAAGTAGAATCAAGTCTCAAATAATGCCTTTTCAATTGTATACTCTAGTATGATAGCTGTAGGACAATACTGTATCATAACTCTGTGAATGCAAAATAGCTTGTACCTGCTTCATGATACGTAGTGGTGAATGTGCTTTATCGGAGCTGTTTTTAATGATGTTGCTCAGAATGTTTACTTTCCAGATGATGATTGAGAAGCTAATTTAAAAAAGTGGTGCCAGGTACCACAAGAGTAACAGAATTGTGATGTTTTCTGGGATTTTGGGGTTTTTTGTTGTTGTTGTTGTTTTATTTTTTGTTTGTTTTTGTTTTTTACTTTTTTAATGGCGTGCTGGATGTCTACAATTTTGTTCAAATGACTGCAGAACCTGGAAAAGCTGCTGCTGCTATTGATGGTAGCATACTGCTATTATTGTTCTTTTTATACAAATATATATATATATAATTTGAACTTTTTGGAAACTTCAGCTGTGCTCTCAACTTTGGAAAAAAGTATCCCAGTTTTCCATGTTGGGTTGGCATTGTACAGAAATTAACAGCCATATTGGTCTAGAAATGTTAAACTTATATTTTTCCCATTTGTACAGGGATAACACACTGTATTAAGTATGTAAGGTCTTATCAACATGGGTTTGATTACAAAACTAATAAAGTGTTTTCTAAATAATGAAAAGCGAACACTCAGGAACCAAACATAATTCCCAAGTCTCTCGAAGGTTTTGTAGTTTACAAGCTACATAGCTGCTCGCTCCCCACCCATGCTTAAACAAGCTGTAGCTCTATCTATCTGTCTGTCTGTCTATCTATCTATCTATCTATCTATCTATCTATCTATCTATCTATCTATCCATCTATCTGTCTTCCTGTCTAGATAATGGTCTCTCTACATAGTGAGAGAAAGGAGAGAGAGAGAGAGAAAGTGAGGAAGAGGGAGAGGGAGAGAGAGATTCTTCTAGCTGAGGTGCAAACCATGAAGGGAGCTGCAGAGGTGATCCTTTCCTAAATCATCACCTATGCTGGTGTGGGCTTTTTAGTGATGTGGGTGCTATGAGTCAATATTCCTGTGAATAAGCATGCATCCATGCTTTCGTAGCCCTGATAAAATTATTGATTCACTAAGAATGACTTGGACAGAATTGTTCCTTTGGTCTCTCATTAGAGCCAGATCTGGCTTGAATAAATATTTGAGGATTTATTTATTTATTTATTTACTTACTTACTTACTTACTTACTTACTTACTTACTTACTTATTTATTTATTACATTTCATAGGAAAAGACACACAATTTTTTATTTGGGTTGTGATATGCCATAAGCATAATCTACTAATCTACTAAGCTGCCTTGGAGCATGCTCTGTGTTCTTGTCTTAGCCACAGTCCCCCTCTTGATCTTTGGGCTTCTGTGGCTTCTTTCTTTTTCTACTGTGACAGTTCAAATGTCTGACTACCATTCTTTGGTCTGCCTGGTCTGTTAAGAGTACATGCTCCTGCTTCTCAGTTCCCTCAGGTTTCTGTTCAAGTATCCCTGAGAACAGACATTTGAAGGCCACTCTAAGAACCACCACTCTCCCAGCTTTTTCATAGACATACTTTCTCATATACTAACAGTAAAACAGCATATATCCTATCCATATATTAGGTATTAAAATATAATTCCAAGGAAGACAGAAATTTGTTATTACTTTCTTTTTCAACTGTAACCTAGTAAAAATGTAGAGATTTCTCCATCAGTCCATACGACATACTTAGAAAGCTGATACCTCTACATTTTACTGACTTGTGTGAAATTATATACAGTGCTTTAATTATTTATCAAATATATATATTCAGGTACATATCTCTAATGACCTAGGTAATTGATAAGTTATACTTTAGAAGCTTTATTGTACCATTTGTTCAACTTTAATCTTCATTATCCTGAGTCTAAAGTATTCAAAGTATATGTTATTCACATTTCTCTGAAAAGAAAGACTGTGTACTCTTTACAAGTGACTGTGTTTTCTTATTAGAAGCAACACATTCTATTTCCTGGCTTTACTCTATCACAAACCAACCAGGCAGAGAGCACAGTGTAATTTACAGTGATTAAATTACATTACAATCAGCCCTCGGTTACCTTTTTGATTGCCTGTCTACTCTATGCTACGTAGTAGAAATAAAAAAAAAAAATAGGTAATTATTCATGTTGTTATACTAATAATTACCAGGTAACTATTCATTATAGGTCTTTTTAAAATATTTTTAATTTTTGTTAATTGCACTTTATTCACTTTGTATCCTCCTGTAGCTCCCTCCTTTCTACCCTCCATCTCCACGCATGTCCTTCCCTAAGTCCACTGATAGTGGAGGTCCTCCTCTCCTTCCTTCTGATCATAGTCAGGTCTCATCAGGAGTGGTTGCATTGTCATCTTCTGTGGCCTGGTAAGGCTGCTCCCCACTCAGAGGGAGACGATCAAAGAGCAGGCCAATCAGTTCCTGTCAAAGACAATCCCTGTTTCTATTACAATAGAACCCACTTGAACACTGAACTGCCATGGGCTATATTTGTGCAGGGGTTCTAGGTTATCTCCATGCATGGTCCTTGGCTGGAATATCAATCTCAGAAAAGACCCCTGTGCCCAGACTTTTTGGATCTGTTGCTCTCCTTGTGGTACTCCTGTCCTCTCCAGGGAATATTACTCAGCAATAAAAAACAAGGAAATCATGAAATTTGCAGGTAAATGGTGGGAACTGGAAAAGATCATACTGAGTGAGGTATCCCAGAAGGAGAAAGACACACAGGGTAAATACTCACCTATAAGTGGATATTAGACATATAATATAGGATAAACCTACTAAAATCTGTACACCTAAAGAAACTAATCAAGAAGGAAGACTCTGGCTAAAATGTTCAATCCCCATTCAGAAAGGCAAAGAGGATGGACATCAGAAGAAGGAGAAAACAGGGAACAGAACAGGAACCTACCACAGAGGGCTTCTGAAAGGCTCTACCCTGCAGGGTATCCAAGCAGATGCTGAGATTCATGATAGGTCTTTATGTAATGAATTTATGTAGTAGATGATTCCTCCTTTACTTACAGGGAAATGAACAAGGGTGTTACTTACACTTGGAGCCTGATGAAGATGACCCACCAACAGTAGATCTGGATCCCCCCTTCATGGAAAAGACTCCTTTTCCCCTGCGTGTGGTAGTGACAGCCACTCTGGGACGCTTTAGTGGGATGACAGCTCGAGGAGGCGGAGGCACACGGCCATGGTAATCAAACAACCTTCACAAACACAAATGGTTGACCGTTGGTAAGATGCTTAACCATTCCATGAAACAATTGCATTATGCAGACATTTTTCTGGTAAAATTTCATGGCAAGTATATTTTTGCTCTTGTTTACTATTCAGACAAGGTATTTATCAGCCAACTTTTTTTTTTCAGAAAGCAACAACATTCTCTTTCTGTATGTTAGAATTTGACTCTGAAATTTAGTAAGATAGTGTCCTATCTTGCAGAATTATGAAATTTGCCCAGCTCAGGCTGAATTTTGTCCTGTGATGTATTTCTTTGTCTGAACAAACAAATTTACTCTAATGTTGATCATATATCTTCCTCTTACACATTGGAAACTTATATTTCCTTGAGAGTAAAATGATTACACAAAATCATGAACAAAGCAGCAAATAGATTCCTCAGTGTGGATAGAAAAAGTGGAGTTAAAACCAGCTGAAGAAGAAAGCATAGGAACCATACCAGGAAAGCACCAGCCTCTTAGGGTGTTTAAGGTAATCATGACCCCCTCTGACTGCAGATGGGTGTAAAGAAAACTGAGCTAGCATGAGGGTACAAATGTGTTGACCAAAGCACTAGAGGGAACTGATAATTAGAACACTTTGTTATTCTGGCTGTTTTTCTGGTATGCAAATTAAAATAAGCTCATTTGTAGAGTTAGCTAGTAAAATGTTTTCTAACAGAAAAGAAAAATCAATAAATTTCCTACTCTGACTAAAAGAAAAACTGATATTCTCCATAGCTGTGTATTTCCATCAAACACTGAAAGGAATATAGTTATATAGATGTTTGCTCTCATATGGAAACATGCCATATAGACATTCAAATAATTCATATTATTTGTTCTGTATATTCATATGCACCAACATTTATATAATAACATATTTGAGAACATAAAAACTTAGGACAAAATTCTAGGTTACACTTATACAGTTTTTAAACTACTTGCTAACAAATAAGATACATAATTATGTTACCCAGAACAAAAAAGGCATTATTGACTTATATTTATGATTGTTATATATTTTATTTGGATACCATTATATGAATTTTAATTTGGCAACTTAGTTAAAGCAGTCAATAAATAAATTAATATGAAATTCAGAGAATAAAACAATATGAAATTCAGAGAAGAGAAAGTAGGACAGGAAAAGCAATTAAAATTTTTCTGCAAGAAGTTTTTCATAAATGTAAATCTTGTATACACATGCATCTGAAAATGTGATAATTTCCTTTGGAAAATAATATATGAAACATAATAAAAGTTTGTTTTCAAGAGTTTGTTAAAAACATTTACAGCTATTACATGACAAGATAAAAGGACAATATTCAAGTTAAAAAATGAAACTTTTAATACAAAGATCATCTCCTACATGTCTAGAAATGAAAGGAAGTCAAATATAGCAGAGGTCAAAAGGAACTCTACCTATCCTGTGTGAAATGTCAAAGTCCAACAGACCAAAGACCTGCTGTAAAAAAGGAGTGGATGCCCTCTGCCCAAAGTTTGGCTGTGAGTCTCAGCCTCTGCTTTGATACCTCGATCAGTACAGTCTTTCAGAGGCCCTCTGTGGTAGGCTCCTGTCCTGCTTCCAATACAGAGGAAGACAATGCAACCAGTCCTGATGAAACCTGATAGGCTAGGGTCAAATAGAAGGGGAGGAGGTCCTCCCCTATCAGTGAACTAGGAAAGGGGCACAGGGGGAGAAGAGGGAGGTAGATTGAAATTTGTAGGAGAGAAGGATGGGAGCCACAGCTGGGATACAAATAGAATAAATTGTAATAAATGATAATAATAATTTAAAAAACAGTGGATGTCAGCACACCAGGGTTTTCTTCAAAGTCCACAGCTGAATGAAGCTGGAAGGGTTGTGAATATAAACAGAGAATAGAAAATCAGAAGGGTCAAGAAAATCTCATTTCAATCACAAAACAAGATGTGCATTAGTTATTTATAAGATGAAATCACAGACGACCCTAAGTCAGTGGACCAAAACACAATACCAAGTCTATCAAGAAGAAGAAAATATGACATTTGGCTCATCTTCAGGTCAGAAATTACCATTTGAGGTAAATGGTTTCCTTAGCTTTTCATGTGCATCGAAGGGGTTCATTAAGCAAACCTATTAATTGGGTGAAGAAAATCCCCGGAGCACAATGAGATACACAGAGATGTAAGAACTGTATGATAAATGCGCTGGGCAAATGAGCTGCCATATTCATTGTTATTCCAATTAAAATGCCCTTTAACCTTTTAAAAATGTTTTAGAAAGCATGCTTTAGATCACTGAAACATTTGTCATATCATCATAATCTCCATGTTGTGTTCCAAAATCTTTGTCTGGCATTAGACATTCCTGTCTCTCAACAGCAGGTGACTTTTTCCAAAGAATCAGTGGGATTTTCATCAATTCCATATTCCACTCTGATGGAACTCTGTTTTTTTTAATTACATTTTTATTTTTTTAAAATTAATTACAATTTATTATGTATCCCAGCTCTAGCCCCCTTCCTCATATCCTCCCAACCCCACCCTCACTCCCTCAGTTTCTCCCTTGCCCCTCTCCAAGTCCACTGATAGGGGAGGTCCTCTTTCCCTTCCCTCTATTGTAGCTTATCAGGTCTCATCAGGACTGGATGCATTGTTCTCCTCTGTGGCCTGGCAAGGCTGCTCCCCACTCAGGGATATTGGTCAAAGAGCCAGCCACTAAGTTCATGTCAGAGACAGTCCCTGTTCCCCTTACTATGAAACCCACTTGGATCCTGAGCTGCCATGGGCTAGATCTGAACAGGGGTTCTAGGTTATATCCATTAATGGTCTTTAGTTAGTCTTTACATGTTTTAATGTTATTGTGACATATAAAACAAGATCAAAGGGGGCATGGGCACTTCAAATGTGAACAAAATTCTAATTTTTATAATATATAATGGCTGCAGAAGCTGGCTTAAATAGAACTGGGCACTCCTGAGTTTATTAGAAATACAAGGAAGGAAGCTGGGCATGGCTTAATGCATAAAATTTAACATGCTAGGTGTGAAAGGTTCAGTTTTTCTGAGCTTGGGAGATGGGCGTGGGTTTCTAAGCGCAGAAGGAAGTTGCAGGGAAGGTTGTAAGAAAAGAGAAAACTTTTCCCAACAGAATTCACTCTATGGTAAATTAAATTAGTTTATCTCTATAAATGGCATTGGGAGTAAGGACAGCTCATTTAAAATTATAGGCTGTCTACAGAAATTACACCCAAGTACAATGGAATGGAACCGCATTTCAAACTTTGATTCAAGTCTTTAAATGGCTTTTATCATCATTATATTAGTTCACTTATTCTTACAATTATATTTCTACTCTTTTCCTTTAGGTGTCCTTAGTTTTCCATAATAGTGCTTATTCAGAAAAAAAAAAGCCTTCTAATACTTGATGAATAGATAATTGTGATGATTATGAAGCCAAGCATATAATCTTCCCTTTCCCAAAGTTAATTTTAAAATGAATGCTTGAAAAATCTTCCCTTTATTTTCCAATGAAATAAATTTAGTAAGAGTTAGTGTATGTATAGCCCTTAGAAGAATTTAAATTTTTTTTTAATTTCAGAAACATTTAAAAGTTTCAACTAAACTTTTTGTGTTTGACTTTTGTATGCTTTAAATAAAACTAGAGATTCATGATATTATATCCTAGCAAAAGTTAAAGGCTGATAATTTTAGCAACTGTTTATTTGATGATTTGGCATAGCTTGTCTCTTAGAAGAATCATTTTTTTATCCCTTCTCCTCAAAGCAGGTGTGCTATGGATAAAAATAATTTAATACCATATTAACATAAGCATAGAAAGTGAGTATGATCTTCATTACTCTGAGAATAGTTTATTGCTAAGCTTTAGCAATAATGATGATTTGGGAAACACATGAACAAAGCCCCATATCTCTCAACTCTACACAAGTGGCAAATCCTGTAATCTTCTGAGTTTTCCCTGGAGCCACCTATACCTTTTTCACATGAACAAAACTACAGTACATATGTAACGTGGATAAAGGTTTGTCTACCTGCTGTATTAGAAATATTTCTCAGCCTTCCTAAACGGTTTTCTTCATGTTTAATTGATATGAAGTATTTATTTTTCTAGTAGGAGCTCTACTAAATCAATACAAAGTTGGTATACTTGTTTTGCTTTCTTTGCTTGTCTGTTTGTCTTGACACTTATTTTTTGCTAATAATTAGTAAGTTTTCAAAATTTAAAAAATGATTGAAGATTGGACATTTAATATATGTATATAGTATATGACCAAGTAATAAACATTCAGTGATAACTTCAAGAATTTTTGATAAATATCTATTTGATCCTAAATTTCCCTCTTGAAAACACTTATTTCTTTTCTCTACCTATGAATCAGACTTACTGTTGCTGTGTAGTTATTGTTAACAAAATTTTCATTATGGAGTAAAAACTGCTCAGAGACGGTCTTCTCCCCACAGGACTATCCTTGCTATATCCTGTTTCATCTCTAAACTCTACTTTCCGTGCTTCTGACAGACTACAGTCCAGTAAACAAATTAAAACGCTAACTTCATGTATAAGAAGGTCTACGTACAAAATCCAGACAATTTATTCTTAAAAGCTACTAACATGATATAGACAATTTTTATTGCTTTTACTTTTTTTAAATTATTAAACTTTTATAAAGCTTTCAGTTTGGTTCCCCACTTGTTTTTATGCAAATGTTTCTTGACCATGCTTTCAAAAAGAAATGGCTGCGAATTTGAATGAGATTTGTGCAGTGTTTACCTTAATGCAATCAACATTACTACCTGCTGAATTTAAAATGCAACTTCAGATAATTAAACAATATTCCAACTGGCCACTTGAGGCCAAAAATAAATAAATAAATAAATCATGAAAATTGTTTAATTCTACTTCTGACTTGATAAGGTTAGAGTTTTAAACCATTTTGCTCATGAAAGACAACAAAGAAGATGCAATTTTCTCAAAATTAACCTGTTGGTACATTTGCAAATAGATATTAAGTTCATGCCTTCTCACTGAAAACCTTGTCCTTCCCAACTCTACACACACTTTTAAACTAGGAACCCATTCTATCACTTGATAACTTAAATTTGCATATGAGACAGATATTATTCCTTGCTAACAGACTTTCCAGATTTATAACTATGTGTGCTATTCTATAATTAATCATCAGAAACAATTTAACTATGACTTTTTTTTTTTTCACTTATGAAGCTGTTGCTCCTGAAGGGAGACTTTTCTTTAGTTACAGGTAGGTTTGAGATTCCCCCAAGCCAAGTTCCTGCTCAGCGAGTATCTGGCTTCTTCTTTGACTCAGAATGCTAGAATGAGGATTCAAGATGGATCAGGAAAATGAACATTTTATTAGGTTTCCCATATTATTATTACCCCAGCCTTGTTTCTTTGACCTGGCAATGACTATTTATTCCAATAGCAGAAGGAGAATCTAGCTGGAAGGACTTGGAACGTTTGCTTCTTCACATACCCTCCAATACCAGTAGCCTGTGGCTGCTCCTCAGCGATAGGAGTCTCAGTCCACAGAGGTACAACAGCACTGTCTGAGCAGAAACTCCTGTTCATAATTTTAGCTCAGCATGGCCCTTTTTCTACAGTGAATTTTAATGTTGGCAAGTGCCCTGCTTATTGCAATTGCTAATTCCATTATGCTCTAATGTTTTTGTTTTGCCCTTTCAGATTCTCGAAGTTTTTTATCCAATTATCTCTGCTAAACATAACTAGTGTCATTTCTTGGTTTTTTTTTTTTGTTTGTTTGTTTTGTTTGTTTTGCTAAGCAAAGTAGCATGGTCTTAAGAAATAACAGAATGTTTACTATCTCTCTGCAGGAATGTTGAGCTACAACTGAAATGTCACTCAAAGGCATGACAATGGTCTATTATAGAAAAACTATTGAGCAACTATCTTATTACCCAGATATGTAGACACTGCTATATAAATAGCAGTATAATACACATTTACTATCATTGTTAATATTATTAATACACACCAATATTTGATTCAGTACTAAAAACATACTGGGAATATTGCTAGCTATTACAAAAATTTATGAGTTAAAAAATAATCACATAACAAATAGAAGGTTTTGAAGTACTAAGTAACATAACCCAGTTTGCAGTACTATACAAAATATTTGGGAAAAGCCCACATAAACTCAAGCTGAGGGTATCTTAGTCAGAATAATTGTGTTTAACTGCTGCTATGCCTCCGGGTCCATTTATCTTGTCTAGCCTTTCTTGGTTGATTTCCCTTTGTGGGATTCTTTGTTTACAGGGAGGTAAGCCACCAGTGGCAGATGCTTATGTCTTTCTTAGCCAAGTGTATAAAAAGAGAAAGAGAAACTCATGAGAGCACATACTGTTCAGATAGTCTATTAGCAACAGAAACATAATGGTCTATTGCACACTTAGAAGCCAACAGATTGTATATAAGACAAATAAGTAACATCAAAAACTGGCTGTAGTTAGTGTTTTTGTGTAGTTGAGAGTCCTCAAAAAGCTTTAGGTTCCATAATACTTTGACTGTTTAGGGTCCTGGGTCTTTGCAAAGTTAGGTCTATTTTCTACCTTCTGGTTTAGATAGCTATTTTTAATAAACAGTAAAATGGACATATCTTCTCATTGAATTAACAACCTAATTAATTACCTTTGAATGTGTGTGTGTGTGTGTACATGAGAAGGAAGAGGAGGCCTGTGCCACAATACATATGTTGAGGTCAGAGGACAACGTTGTGGAATCAGTTCTTTCCTACTTTTTTTTTTTTTTTTGTGTGTGTGTGTGTGTGTGTGTGTGTGTGTGTGTGTGTGTGTAGGGGGTCCTGGTGTTTGAACAAAAGCTTCCGGGCTTACTTGGAAGCTGTTTTTTTATTGAGCCATCTCAGGAAGCCCTGTATCTTGTCTTTTCTTTAAAAATGACACAATCGCATAATTGATTTTTGCAAAGTAACAAGATTTAATGTCAAAAACTAGGTTTCCTACCTAATAGAACAAAATTCATTTAAATAGGAATTCATTAAGTATACAAGAAAACACTAAGAAAAGAGTCTAATGTAATTTTGATAGACCATTAGACAAAACACATTAATTGAAAACTTATTCAGAGTAATTAAAACAATGGTTAGCATCCTCAATAAATTCCAGCAGGAAATAGTTTTGAAACTATCAAAAGTTAAAGTTTTCAAAAAAAAATGTAAAGATTATCTCCACGCTGCTTATTCTTAGGAGGGTATGAGATTATTTTAATACTGCCAGCTGTTGGCATTGCTTTAAGAGCACATTATTGTAGGATACAAAACCTTAAAAATAAAAACTAATATGTTGTTTAAATTATAAAACAATTTGAGGTAATCATTCTTTAAGACCAGCTTTTGTTTACAGGAGGAACTAAAGATAGGTTTTATCCATCACTGTGACGTGTGTCCCTGTGTCTGGCTCCCTATACAGGTTTTTGATATATTACCCACACATATAACTTGCAGTTTTTCTCATTCTCCTGTGCATAGTCATATAGTCTACTGCATTGTTTTTTATTTTTAATTCCTTCCTTCCTTTCTTTTGGAGTCCAAATAACTATCGGTCTTGAGAATTCTAAGTTAACAATTGGTCTGGAAAATTATTAAATGTTTAAAATGTTATTCATATATTACCATGAAAATTTTTTGGCTTTGTCAACTCTAATGCACAAGTCTTATTCCAAGATCCACTGCATGTCAGTAAGGATAATAAAACTAAGAAGATCTATCTATATTACCATCACAGAAAGTTCATATTTTAAATTTATAGTCATAAAATTTTATTTAAAGCATTTTAATTAGCAGCCTCAGAAAATGAAATGCATAACATAAAACGTGATACAGATTATGGAAAATAAGGTTGAAAGTTCACATACCGACTGTAGAAGTCATCTCTGTAGTAATCATAGTCGAAGACATAACCACTAAGGATGTAAAAAAAAAAAAAAAAAAAAAGTAATAGTCAGTGTGTGTTTAAGCCATGCTCATGTTATAAATTCTTTTTATTTTTACAGCAAGAAATTAATGTTACTTTATATCAACACATTTTAATGTCATTAGTTTATAAATGGCATTGTAAGATAAGATAATGTTCAAATTCATATACTATATCAGTCTGCAGTTACAGATGGGCAACTTATGGTATAAAAACGGGACCAACACATGCATTTCAGTAATAAAGCCAATATGCCCAGCTCCCTAAAGAATATAAAATGAGAACTGTCACAAGTTAAGAGCCTGCCACAGAGGGCCTCTGAAAGGCTCTGCCCTGCAGACTATTAAAGCAGATCAAAGAGACTTATGGCCAACTGTTGGGCAGAGTGCAGGGAATCTTATGAAAGAAGTGGGAAATAGTAAGATCTGGAGAGGACAGGAGCTCTACAAGGAGAGCAACAGAACCAAAAAAATCTGAGCACAGGGGTCTTTCCTGAGACTCATACTCCAACCAAGTACCATGCATGGAGATAACCTAGAATCCCTGCACAGATGTAGCCCATGGCAGTTCAGTGTCCAAGTGTGTTCCTTTGTAAGGGGAACAGGGACAGTCTCTGACATGAACTCAGTGGCTGGCTCTTTAATCACCTTCCTTTGAGAGAGGATTAGCCTTACCAGGCCACAGAGGAAGACAATGTAGCCACTCCTGATGAGATCTGATAGACTAGAATCAGAAGGAAGGAGAGGAAGACCTCCCCTATCAGTGGATTTGGGATACAAAGTGAATAAAGTGTAATTAATAAAAATTAAAAAATATTTAAAAAATGAGAACTGTCTACATCTATTTGGATAATGGTCTTTTGTGAGGCACTTTATATGCATTTTAGTTTTAGTTATCAAAATTACTCTGATGTATAATGTAACTACAGTATGGAAGACCTGATTAGTTGAGAGAATTCTTTTTGTTTGTTTGTTTGTATGGTTGGTTGGTTGATTTTTTTGAGACATTGTTCCTATGTGTGATAGCCCTGGCTGTTTTGGACTTATTTTGTAGACCAGATTGGCCTCAAACATGAAAATCCACCTTCCTCTGCTTCCAGAATGCTAGGATTAAAGGCATATACCACTATACATAGCTTGAATTCTTATCTCTACCAAGGGGAAGGGAGAAAATATGAGACCAAAACTGAATTTACATGTGGATCCATTTTTATACCTTTCAAGATTCCCAAACATTACAAATATAAATTTTTAATTTATAAAATACAATGTAATTTTCATTGTGTATTTGTTAATTTAAATTTTCATTGCAGTAAAACACAAATAGAACATGAAAATTATCACCCTAATTATTTCAGCTATAATTTGAATGTACCATTCATCATATGATTTTAAACATTTCCAGTACATAATTCAGTAGCATTAAATGTATTCATTAAGTTGTATAAAAATCATCACTATGTATTCTGTAAACTTCTTTTTTTGACTTTTTTGATTTATTATTTATTAAAATTATTCACTTTGTGTTCTGGCTGTAACCCCCTCCCTTATCTCCTCCCAGTTCATTCCTCTCTCTCTCATCTTCCCCTATGCCTCTCCCCTTGTCAATTGATAGGGAAGGTCCACCTGCCCTACTATCTGACCCTAGTCTCTCAGGTCTCCTCTGGACTGTCTGCACCCTCTTTTTTTCTGTAACCTAGCACGGTTATCCCTCTCCTTCCAGGGGGTAGGTGATCAAAGAGCCTCCACTGAGTCCATGTTAGAGACAGCTCCTGCTCCCAACCTAGGGAACCCACATGGAGACTGAGCTGCCTATGGTCTGCATCTGAGCATGGGGTCTAGGTCCTCTCCATGCATCGTCCTTGGTAAGCACATTGGTCTCTGCAGACCTCCCTGAACCCAGAGTTTTATGTTAAGGTCTTTGATCCACTTGGACTTTAGTTTTGTGCAGGGTGATAAATAGGGGTCTATTTGCATTTTTCTACATGTGGACTTCCAGTTAGACCAACACCATTTGTTGAAGAGGCTATCTTTCTTTTTCATTGTATGGTTCTGGCTTCTTTGTTAAAAACTAAGTATCTGTATATTTGTGGGTGTATTTCTGGGTTTTTGTTTTGAATCCATTAACCCACCAGTCTGGTTTTATATCAGTACCATGCAGTTTTTATTACTGTTTCTCTATAGTACAGCTTGATGTCAGGGATGGAGATACCTCTAGAAGATCTTTTATTGTAGAGGATTGTTTTAGGTATTCTGGGTTTTTTGTTTTTCTGTATTGAACTGAGAATCTTCTTTCAAGCTCTATAAAGAATTGTGTACTACTCAGCAATTAAAAACAAGGAAATCATGAAATTTGCAGGTAAATGGATGGAACTAGAAGAGGTCATCTTGAGGTAACCAGGAAAAAAAGAAACACAAGGTATATATTCACTTACTTACAAGTAGATATTAACCATACAATACAGGATAAACATACTAAAATCTATAGTCCTAAAGAAGCTAAACAGCAAGGAGGGCCCTAGGGAAGTTGCTTAATCACCATTCAGAAGGGCAAACAGTTTAGACACCAGAAGAAGGAGAAGACAGGGAACAGGACAGAAGCCTACCACAGAAGGCCTCTGAAATCTGCCTAGAAGGGTATTGAAGGAGATGCTGAGACTCATAGACAAACTTTGGACAGAGTGCAGGGAATCCTATGGAAGAAGGACATAGAAAGACCTGGAGGGAACAGGAGCTCCACAAGGGGACCCAACAGAGCAAAAAACTGCTTGCTCAATTATTATAGGTGTCAGTGTCGGAAGATTTTTTTAGACTATGGTAAAAGAAATTACATTATATGCATTTGAATTGAAATTTAGATAACCACCATTTTATTGAGATTCCCACAATAAAATAAAATAGAAAGACCAAGCCAAGCATATTTTAAGTACTTTTTACATAGAATGTGTTCGTAAACCAATGACCTGGACAGGGAGCCATTCTAATTTAAATTTATAGTCTTTGTAACTTTATGTACATAAACTCATTTAGTCTTCACTATATATAAAAAATACAGTTATCTCTCCTCAAATATTGATAAATAGCTTGTCATCAGGAATGGAATGAGGCACTTGGGCTCAGAAGTAGTAATTTCTTTCTCAGACTGATTATAGTCTGGTTGTATCAACATAACCTCAACATCCTGTCAGCTTCACTAAACTTCAGTCAGGTTTCCTGGTCTCCAGACCCATGACCTCTGTCTTTTGAGGAGGTTTTACTTTAGAAAACTTCCATTGGTCAGTCTGGCTCTACTCCTTTGAGATGTAAATGCAAAAATATTCCAGCTTAAAAACTAAGGAACAGTTTTTTGTTTGTTTGTTTGTTTTTAGGAACATGGGAGCCTTACCATTGAAATAAAATTATCAGTGAAGACATCTCCTGAATGGAACATTTCTCTGTCCTTATTTCCATACACACTAGCCTCTGCTAGTCACTTTTATACTCTATATTGTTTTGAGATTAACCTTTCTGTCTTGCAGATATGAAAGGAGAAATAAACTGATATTCTACAGCAATTACACATTCTACCATGTTAATGTTTTCTACTTGCAATCCCTTTTCAATCTAAAATATTTTTATGATAAATATTATAAATCAATTATTTGGTATGCATTTAATTTTATTAAAATTAATTTGCATGTCAATAAGATGCATGTTCACATTATCTTTGTCATATGAAATTAAATCTTGGCTGAATATTTCCTTCAGCATTTTCTAAGGTGATCAATATTTCAGTTTATACTTATCAATGTTATCACAGTTACAGAAGCATGTTTAGGGTCGTTTCAGGTAGTTAAAAAATTCTGTACTAAAACCAAAATGAATTTAATTAAATGACATTTTGTTTTATTTTGTTTTCTTTTTTTTTAATTTTATTTTTCTTATATTAATTACATTCCGTTAACTCTGTGTCCCAGCTGTATCCTGCTCCCTCATTCCCTCCCCAACCCCACACTCCCTCCCTGGTCTCCTCTCTGCCCCTTTCCAAGTCCACTGATAGGGGAGGAGGTTGACCCTGTTTTATCAGGTATCTTCAGGGCTGGCTGCAAAGTCCTCCTCTGTGGCCTAACAGGACTGCTCATCCCCTGAGGGGGTGGGGAGGTCAAAGAGCCTGCCCTTGAGATCCTGTTAGAAATAGTCCTTGTTCCCCTTACTTTGGGAAACTACTTATTTCATGGAACTCATGTCATAAACTCAAGGGGAAACTTTTTGATCAAACATTCTTTTTTTTTATTTTGAAAATATTTTTTTAAATTATTTATTTTTTGTTAATTACAATTTATTCACTTTGTGTCCCAGCTGTAGCCCCCTCCCTCATGCCCTTCCAATCCTACCCTCCCTTCCTCTTCTCCTCCCATACCCCTCCTCAAGTCCTTTGATAAGGTTGGTCCTCCTCCCCTTCCATCTGAAGGTAGCCTATCTAGTCTCATCAGGGCTGGCTGCATTGTCTTCCTCTTTGGCCTGATAAGGCTGCTTCCTACTCAGCTGGAGGTGATCAAAGAGCCAGCTACTTAATTCAAGTCAGAGACAGCTCCTGTTCCCCTTACCAGGATACCCACTTGGAAACTGAGCTTCCATGGGCTACACCTATGCAGGAGTTCTAGGTTATCTCAATGCATGGTCCTTGGTTGGAGTACCAGTCTCAGAAAAGACTCATGAGTCCAGATTTTTTGGTTTTGTTGCTCTCCTTGTGGAGCTCCTGTCCCCTCCAGGTCTTTCATCATCCCCTTCTTTCATAAGATTCCCTGCACCTGCCCAAAGTTTGCCTATGAGTCTTAGCATCTGCTTTAATACCCTGCTGAGTAGAATCTTTCAGAGGCCCTCTGTGGTAAGCTCCTCTCCTATTCCCTGTTTTCTCCCTCTTCCGATGTCCATCCCATTTGTCTTTCTGCATGAGAATTTTCTATCAAACAGTCTAAAGATAATATAATATAAAGATACAATACTTTGA